GTGTGTGTGTGTGTGTGTGTGTGTGTCCTGGTTACTTTTCTGGTTGCTGAGATCAAATACCTGGCATCTAAAACTAAGGTTTTTTAGCTCACAGTTTGTGGAGGTTTCAGCTCCTACCCAAGCAGGGTGGCATGGTAGGTGCAACAGTGCAAAACTGCAGAGAACAGCAAGAGAACATGAGCAAAAGAGGAAAGAGCAAGCCTCTTCTCCTCCCTTATATTCTACACAGGCCACCAAGCCCTCTCCAGTGCGGGTGTAGCACTCAGGCTGTCTCCCTGCCTTCCTCTTGCATGGGATGAGGGTGTTTGCAAAGTGAGGACTCTGGCCCCCTGCTGAGTCTTCATTAATCTTTAAATTTCTCAAGGTGACACAATGCATCAACCATCTCAGCCTGTTTGAAGTGAGTGGGAGGACTGAGGGAGATTCATGGCAGTGTGTTTTCTCCTGCAATTGATTTTTAGAACCAGAAACATTCATAGGACTGTGTGAGCACACCTCTTTGTGTCTAATACATTCTTTGCAGATTTTCTGACTCTCTGTAGCTCCCACTCCACTCCTGCCCTGTTTGCCCTTGTGCCCGCCAGCAAGTGGCTTGTTTCTGGCAGGAAATGAAGAGCACAGGCAATGTCTCTGCTTTCCTCTACTATTTGTGGGTGACAAGAAAGGGTGCACTTTGTGAACAGGGAGCCGGGAAGAGCCCAGGAATGGCCCAGGAACGTGGAGTCTGCGATGCGCTGTCCATTTCACTGCACAACTGGAGAGAAGACGACGCCAGAATCCATGGCTGGGGCTCAGCCCTGTGGAACACAGGCGGCAGCTGCTGAAACAGCGAGGGAGGCCAATAAATCACCAGACGGGGCCCAGCAGCCGGCCGTCGCCCGGCGCTCCATCTGCTCGGCAAGATTGCTCTGCGACGTCACAGGAGTTACAGTGAGAAAAATCACTCTTCTGCCTCGCTGAATCCCACGTTTTCTGTGCATGTCTATTACAGAATGCAATCTGGGCACAATAGTTAGCGATGCTGCAAAACTGGCGGTCAGCAGACACAGTGCGGATGGGATGTGTTTTATCTTGGTACTGACAAGTAGTGCTCTAATTTTTCCCAGAGGGGGGAAAATGAAGAAAACAATGAAAATCTCCTGCACACCTGCAGCGCTTATTTAAGAGCGGGTAAGAAATTCATGCACTGTTCTTGCCTGGTAGGTGTTAAATCCTAAATCCTGCCCTTTGTTTCGCCTTCACGGAGGGTCAGTGGGAGGGTGCTGAGGACCCTCAAAGCTACTCATGGATGGGGAGCCTTGGTAGGAGAAGGGACCTCTGTGTCATGACAAAGGTTGGTGGTGGAGAGAAGACAGATAAGCCAGGCAGCAGTCAAATCTCGTGGTGATTTAATCCTGTCAGTAACCAAGGGGCAGTACCATTATCCCTACTTCACAGATAGAAAGGGTAAGTCAGAGAGGGTAAGTAAACTAAGAAAGGTCACACAGCTCATCAGAGAGGAGCAGGGTGAGCTGAAATGCAGCTGCTCCTGACACCACTTCCTCAGCCTTTAACCACCCCAAGATGCCACTTCCCAGCACTGAACTCCTAAATTTGCTTAAATGCTCCTTCCAAAAGACCAGCTAGGCCACGCATGATGGCACACAGAAGGCTATGTGAAGCACTGGGAAGGCTGAGGCGGGAGGACTGCTAGGATTTGGAAGCCAGCCTGGTCTACATAGTGAGATTCAAAACCAACCAACCCACCCAGCCACCCACCCATTTGTCCAGTTGACATAAAGATATCTTTTTCCCCACCAAAACCTGGGATAAGAAGCTAGGAATGTAAACACACCGGAAAGACACTAAATGCACCAGCAGCAGCCTTCTGTCTCCGTCGTTTCCCTCAAGGCCAGTCCTCTTAAAGCCTTCATCTTCCTCTTTAATTTGATGATCCCCTGTATCAGTGAGTGTTTACTGCATAACAAACACCCCCACATTTTGAGGTTTAACATTAAAACCTGTTTCCTAAAGAGAAAGAGTCCCAGAGGGAGAAGATTCCCTGGCCTTCAAGATATTGATTCTCAGCTCTTCACCAGATGTTTCCAACTTGACCTGCAGATGCTTCCCATGCACTCTCTTCTCCCAAAAGTGCTCACTGTGGACACACGGCCATATCCTCAACACACTCACTTTTTAAATCTGTCACCATCCACTGCCTCGTCTCTCAGTGACAGCCCGAGTCTCTGTGGACCAGTGTGTGGTTGTCGCAGTGTGTGTCACCTCGCAGGGCCTGACTGCACTCCTCCCTGGCTGCTCTAGAACACGAGGTTGCCTCACTGGCCAGTGCTCTCATCCAGGGACCCAGCCCCTTTCCTGCCAGTCACAGCCTTCCCTTGCAGCCTGGGCACCCCATCTCGGTGGTGCAGAGCCTGCTCCCAGTTCTGCAGTGTGACCTGCAGCCTCGGCTCTGGGCAGGGGCCATGCAGGATTAGTAAATCGCAGTCTCTCTGCCACCCAGCATCAGAAGCTGTGGATTCCACAGAACTCCCAGGCCTAGGGCAGAAACCCCACCCTCCGTGATGGGTAATGGGAGGGCCTCCAGTGGAAAATTATTTGGACTTTAAATGCTGGTCTTTGCTGCAACACTGAAAGACCTGAGGGCCACTATACTAAAGAAATAAGCCAATTCCACAGAGAGACTACCGTGTGATCGCATTTAAAGGTATAATGTTAAAAGAGGCGAATTTACAGACACAGTAGCACTGGGGCTGCCAGGGGCTGAGCAGCATAGGAAATGGGCACATAGAATGAGGTGACTGGTGTCATGATGAACGAGTCCTAGAGACCCACCCATATAACTACGGGGAAGTGCTCTGTGCTTGACATTTTTGAGAGGGTAGAGCTTTAGGGTTCTCACTTAGCAAAAAAAGAAAAAAAAAAAAAGAAATGAAAAAAGCAACCTTGTGAGAAGTTGTATAAACTTGTGAGAAGCTGTATAAATTAATTTGTGGGGAATATTTCTCAATGTATATAAAACCAGCAAGCCGTACACCTTAAACGTGTGTAGTTGTTAAACGTCAAACATGCCTCAATATAGTTGGAGACAAACGCTAGCCCTTGGCATCTTTCCTTTAGGGATTCTCACATCTCCACACATGCTTCTCCACTGGGATGCTCACTGCCACCTTCCTGGCCCTTGTAACTTTCTGTTGCTTCCTTTTGATAGACTGACAATCGAACCGGTTCCCCCGCCTGCCGCCACCGCTCTACCCCCACCATTACCAGGTTAGTTTCTCATACACAAATCTGAACATGTCTCTCAGTCTGTTTCCTGTTACTATAACAGACCGTTGAAGACCAGAAATTTATAAAGAGCAGAGATTTATTTCTTACACACAAGGAGGCTGGAATACCAAGGTTGAGGGGCTCACACCTGGCAAGGCTCTTCTTACTGTGCAATTTCCTGAACCAGGCAATCCACGGGGAGGGGAATCAGACACTCAGCTCCAGCCTTCTCTCATGGACTCCGATCCATTCAGGAATGAGGCAGGCAGCCTTGTGCTCCACACTTCTCCCATCCGGCCCTCTTCCTCTCAATCGGGTTGTCTGGCATTAAGTTTCCAGTACTCTTGGGGCAGAGACACACATTCCAGGGACCGAGTTACTGCTCCCCTGGAATCCCTGGATGGCTCCCCACAGCCCGGGGGTAGAAGGGCCTCCGAGTTGGCCAGCTTCCAAAGCTGCTCCTCACGTGGCCCTGCCTCCTCTCCAGCTCGCCCACCTGTCTCCCATTGCTGCACCCAGGTGTCCTCGCTGTCCTTCAGCTCTGTGGCTTCAGGCCCATGCTCCTTCTGTGGTTGAGGCCCTTCCTTCTTTCCTTTCTTTGCTTCTTTTTTTTTTTTTTTTTTCCAATTTGCTGGTATCATCCTGGGGGTTGAGCCCAGGGCCTTCACCCTAAGCTATCTCCTCAGCCCTTTTTATTTTGTGACACCATCTGGTTAAGTTGCCCTTGCATGTCTCAAACGTGGGATCTTCCTGCCTCGGCCTCTTACTAGCCTTGAATGACACACAACTTGGGGTGCTTGTTGGGAAGCCTCCCTGGTGTTCCTCAGTCCTTAGGGGCAGCAGGCTCTGGCCACAGGCTCACCTCTGCCAAATCACATGTGTTTTGTTCATCTCTTGAATGTACCCTTGCAACACATCCGACCAATCCTTCTGAGCTAATGTGTGAAGGACAGGGAAGAGCACAGCACCACCGCTCACATACAGGCCTGGGCGTGGCCTAGCGGTCTCGCTTGTTTATTTTGCCCCCCATCATTCTGTGCTCACATTGACCTGATTTCAGAAGAAATTATTGAAATTGTATTTTAAGAGTATACTTCATAGGGGCAGGAAATGAGGAATTGTTCTCTGAAATACTCCTGGGAATTTTCAGTGTGTGCCTTGTGTTAATTTAAAAAAAATAACTCCAGACCAAGGTGCTGAGCAGGAGCAAAATAAAGCCATGGGCTATGCTGTTACTTCAGACAAAAATTATCTCCTAACAAACGGACACTCACGGCCCCCTCAACTGACCTGTTAAGAGATTTTGTTCTTTGTGCTAGAGATTGAATTTAAGACTTTCATACCAAACTACATCTTCAGCCCACTGATTGATTGATCAATTGTATTTTGAGACAAAGACTTGTTAAATTGTCTGGGCGGGCCTGAAATTTGCAATCCTCCTGCCTCAGCCTCCCTTGGTGCTGGGATTATAGGAACGCACCAGCACTTCTGGCTAAGAGATTTTATATTTCATAACTACACAGAGAAGCAGAGAAGAGATTCCTCCCCTCTGCAGTCTACACGGAGGGGAGATCTAACCTAGAGCAGTGAGGACAGGGCTGTCACGCACATCCATGACTGAGCGTTTTTTCCACTCGAAAGCCACTGAGCACTTGGCGTGGCAGGAACTGGACGTGACATGTGACTTCCGTGTGTGCTGTCTGTCTGTATTTGTGGGGAGGCAGATTTTCCCCATTAGAGTGGTTGGTGCTTTTGGGGTGAGGGATAAAGGGGAAGTTCAGGTTTCACCTTTCCTGGAGCTCACAGCACTTACTGGAGCTTGAGGGGTGCAGAGGTTTGCATGAAGTCTCACTAAAATGGCTTGGTAAGTAGCATTTTCTACTTAGATCTTTCCCAGCTGTGTATTCATTTAATCCTCTTGATGGCCCTGGGCGCTAGGAGGCATAACTCCACCTCTTTTATCAAGAAGTCAGTCAATCAGTAAGTGGGCCAAGCCTGGTGCTCAGTGTGAAGGTTCTGGGTCAATCTCCAGTAGAATCTCCTCTTCTGAGGAGGAAGCTAGGGTTCAGAGTGGGTGGGCAGCTTCTCCAGGGGGCTCAGCTAGGAAACTGCAGGCAGAAGAGTCTAGGTGCTGAGCCATTCTGGGGAAGGGAGCTCGCTTGGGTTCTTGCTTCCTTAAATTTTTACTCTCTTTCTCTAGCCCTGGGGATTGAACCCAGGGCTTTGGTGCTGAGCTTCATCTCCAGTTTTTACATTGTTTTGAGACAGTGTCTTGTTAAATCACCACGTTGCCTGAGTCATACTCCAACCTGTGATCCTCCTGCCTTAGCCTTCCAGGGTGCACAGACATGCACCACCATGCCATGTTTAAATTGCTTTCTTTCATCCTGATGCTTGGGTGCCATTTTACTCTCATTTTATGGTGGAAGCTAGTCTGGTTCAGAGGCCGCAGGGCAGAGTCAAAGGCAGAGCTGCTCCATGGCCCCAGGTGAGGGTGGCTCTGAAACTCTGCACTATGTGGCCTTGTCAAAGCCGTGCCCCCAGCAGGGAGGGGGTCCCCCTCTTGTAGCTCCCTCGGCATCAGAATGATGGTACCGACTGAGTGGCATCTGTTCACTCCATGCCACTCGTGGATCCTCATGGACTCCGGAGGCAGAAACAGGAAGTGCCGCTCTCCGTCTCACAGGGACAGAGCTCTAGAGCACAGCTCCACGCGGAAGTGACTTGTTCAAGGTTAAACTGGCCACAGAGGAAAGCCAGGCACATTTTCTGCTTCCAGACTGGCACTGTTTCCACTTCTTGCCCACTTCTCCAGAGCTGCTGAGTGACAGTGAAGTCAAGTGATCTTGAAAAGCTGGCAGATGGCTGGAAACTTGAATTTCAACAACATCTTAAAAGCTGGATTTGTGATTTGTGGGGAAGGTTCAACAATGTAACTTTGAGTTTCTTTGTTCTAAGGAAAGAACAGAGAGTCACATGCTCAAACCTCAAGTGATTGACTTATGGGAGAAAAGTTGGCTTTGCTCAACTTTTCCAAAGTTGAAAGCCAGCCAAGTCCTTCTGGGTAATATGCTAACTCCAGCCTTCTCTCTTCTGCTCCATGCTGGGTGGGACATCACCAGGGAGTGTTGGAATTCCTAGCTTCCCATTCCTCACCATCCCTGATACAATTCTCAAAGCTCTTATAATTTTGAGAGCCTGCCTTTCCAGTGGTAATAAACAGCCTCACTGAAGACAAATTCAATTAAATTGGCTCAAGAGCAGTAAATTAAAAAGTGTGTGTGGCGAATCAGATGCTTAATCCTCGAACCTGGATTCCAGCCACTACAGATCAAGTTCTTGGCTTCTTTTTGACGTCTGCATCATCCACTGCCAGCGCCAGCCTCCAGTCTGCCCTGCTGTGAAGCTCAACACCAAATTAAAATGTGGGTGCAGATGTTCCAGGGCTCCCCACTCCACCCTGCTGTCTGTCCATGACCCTTTCTGCCCTCAGCTGGAAGTCAGAAGCTCCAGGCTTGGTCTTTCTGAGAAGCTGGGATTCTACAATGGTTCGAAGAGCTCTCACTTCTGGGAAAATGCTCCATTCGGCCTGGTACACTGAACTTACATAGATAGAACCATAGGGCTTCCAGATGGAAGCCCAGAGTGACGGGAATTCCTCACTGATGGACAAGTTTGAGGGTCAGAGCAGGAGGACAGTAAAAGCCTAAGAGTACAGGGTTTGCATCATCTCATCCTTACCTAGTGGTCCTATTGTGCCTCAGTTTCCTCATGTTTAAGATGGGAATAAAGGCACATGCCTGTAAAGGACCCAGCAAAGGACATGGCAGGCTTTTGCGTCCCTTCACTGCGAGGTGACATGGAGTGATGGGGCAGCTCTGCCGCCTGAGTCTTGAGCGCTAACCTCGCAGCCTCTGCTCCTCCTACTGACCCTGTAGAGTATCTGAGTTCACTTTTCACTGCTGTTTCTCCTGCCTTTGCTGATCTTCTCAGTTGAGCCATTTTCTCTCTGGGAGAACAGCTAACCACATATAATTTTCTGTTCTTTCCATGAACCTCAGGTGAAACCAGAACTATCCTATGCAAATGAAGCTAGAACTCTTCCCCCTGAGCTGATTACCTGTGGAGATGGCAGTCTCTGGGGCAACCAGACTCAGAAGCCCTCCCAGCACAGTCGCCCTCCAGTGAGTGCACCTGTTTTTAATTAGTACAAACACAAACAGCCTGCTAGCAACAGGCAATGTGGGTAGCGTCAATCTGGGAATCTCTTAACCCTTTCATACTCTGCACTCCAAAAGGCTAAGGAAGAAGCCAGCTCAACTCAGCTGTCCCCACAGCTGCTGCCCTCTGTGGTCCCTGCCAGGAGGCAATCTTGCTTTGCCTCTTCCCAGGAAAGAGGAAGCTCCCTTGGTCTCTCCCTCCCTGGTACGTGGTTGATCACCAACATCAACACTAACATGTCCATTTTCAGTATGCTCGTGTGCAGTCTCGTGGAAGTGTGTAAGGAGGCAAATACCTACCCCACCCTGGACAGGCAAAGAAACCAAGCTCAGAGATCCTGGGACTCTGGTAAGTTCAGACAGCCAGGAGCTGTGTGTTCTCCAGATCGGGGTGCTCACACGCAGCCCTGCTCTTGGAGACCCTGGCACCTGCTCCATCCTGCGGGGCAGTTTCCGTGACCGACAGGTTTTGGTCTGTGGTTGTAGATGGACAATAGCTTTCTGAGAAACACTCCCCCAGGCTCAGTGGTTCCCAGGTCCAGCTGTACTTTAACAGCACTTGGGACAATGTATAGAACAAGAAGGTCAGATTCCACCTGAAACTGCAAGTGTTCCTGGTAGTAGGTTCAGGCTTGGGTGCTTTCTGAACTTCCTCTAGGTGGTGACTCTGTGCACAGCCAGGTCACAAATGGACTCTATGACCCCTGCAACTCTGAGAAGCTATGATTTTTTTTAAGGACAGGGAAAGGATCCCAGTAGCAACATGTTGAGAGGGACACAGCCCTGAGGCTAATTTTGCCTGCAGGGCAGTTGACAAACTTGCATAAGTGCTGTTTGCTCCTGGACTCCCTGTCTTCATGTCACCCTGGTCCTTTGTGTCCATCTAATTAATGGAAAGAAGCCCTGTTTATGTTAACTGTCATGTGCTCCTTTTCTAGTATAGCATTTTCTATCAAGAGGGAACTATAGGGTAAGATTTACTCAGAGGTGCTGGCCTCCTTTAAGGGTCCCGAAGCTGGAGAACACATTGAAAATTAAGCAACGTCTCTCCAGGAAAAGGAAACATAAATACGCATAAGGTGTGGCTGGTGGTGAATGTTCATGTTAGACAATCCATTACAGTAAAAGACTCATATCCACTAATGAACCTTCACAGCCTTCTCTCTTGCTTTGAACACACCTATCCTATCATTCTTGTCACTTCCTTTCTTTCTTTCAGACAGGGTTTTGCTATGTGGTCCAAGCTGGTCTTGTACTCACTGTGTAGCACAAGCTGTCCTTGACCTTGTAGCAATCCTCCCATCTCAGCCTCTCAAGTATGGGGATTACAGGCATGTGTGGCCGTGCTTGGCTCATCCTTTGCACTTCCTGAAGCAGCCCTGGAAGTCCTTTTTCCTGAGTGTCTCTGTAAGGTGTGATCACTAATACAGTGGCTGCTGCTGCTGAGCGTGGTCCAATGGAAAGGCAGCTCGTCAAAACATGACACTGTGTCCTCATCCATCTTAACAGATCTGGCACCGTGTGACTTCTGGCTCTTCCCCAAAGTCACCATGACCAGGAAAGGGAGACATTTTTAATCCATTCAGGACATCGAGGCAGCCAGGGCAGTGCTGCTAAAGACCCTCTGGAAGAGGACTCCAGAGCTGCTGTGGGAAGTGGCAAGGATGAAGGGATGAATGTATGCAAAAAGTGAGGGGAAGATTTTGAAGGCATGAGTGGCAGTGTGCCTTTTACTGGAACAATTTATAAATATTTGCTATTTATTTCATCACACTCAAGGAGTGTCCATTTGTTTTTGTGTATTATTTTGAGGCTTCTCAGAAGCTCTATCCACTTTCTGCATTTCCAAGGGCAGCCACTCCCATGTATTAACAATGGGGCACTCTGGAGTTTCTTCTTCATGAGTTCGGGTGGAACCTGAAGACGTGCATTTCCGAGTTCCGGGTGATGCTGATTTGAGCTGAATGTGTCCAGGGACTGCTCTGGGAGGAAAGCCTCTTTTCTTGTATCACCCATCTATACTGCTAAGTGAGAGGCAGAGGAGGCCCACAAGCTCATGGCAGAGTTAGCAATGTCAAATCCTATGTATTCCTGCCCAGCCCACCCCTACGCACCTGCCACAAGCCAGCAGAAGACAGCAGCGTCCTGGTCACGGACATAAACATGCATAAAGGAGAACAATGCAAGTCAGAATGTGGTCTCTGTCAAAAGCCATTATCAATGAAAAGGCAACATCCTCATCCTTCAGGCCAGGGTGGAGGAAAGGACTCATGAAGGGTTGGAGAAGTGACAGCATCCATCTCTAGAAGGATGCTTCAGGAACAGAGGAAGAACCACATCCTATTACACGTTCAGTTGTACCTGCGTGATGCTGGCTCTTTAGCCCATTGCTTGCTATTAGCTTCACTGACCTATCACACCAACAAGGCATGAGACCAAATTTACATGCATGGACATCAGGTACTGCGTCCTCCTACTTCCAAACAGAAGACACGAGGTGTGGTCTGTGGTGGGCAGGAGATGATAACCAGGCAGATGGCCAGAGACACCCCTCTCTGACCAGCTGTGAGGACGAGGGAACCCTTTCTAGCCACAAGGGGCAAATGTGCCTGGTACAAGGCTGATATTTTAACTGCTCCCAACAGGAAGTGGGTGGCAGATGTGTGTTCACATTTCCTGTTGTTCCTCTGTCAGAAGCTTGGTCACTCTGGAGGTTTGGGACCTTTAAGAGGTTGGGCCTAGTGAGAGATCATAGGTCACTGGGCAATGGAGGGCATAGATCATTGGGTCCTGGCTGCTCCCCATACTCTGGCTTCCTGTTTTGCTATGTGACCTTTTTTTATACCTCTTCCACTGTGGTGCTCTATGCTGCAAGGCCTTCTTGCTGATTGGGCTTTCAGCCTCCCAAACTGTTTATTTAATAAACTAATTTGCTTTGTGGAAAAACTGTGGAATCGTGGAGAAGGTACTGAGCCCGGGAGCCAGGCTGCTTGTCTTGTTCTGTGGTGAATCCGCAAGGAGCCCTGGGTCCAGGGCTTCTGGCCCAATTAAGCTGTCTCTGAGGGCTTGGGGTTTCAGGACTCTACAGTACTACAGGGAAGAACAAGGCACTCGGTGTTGGAGCAGAGTGACGCTGGGTCTCCAGGACCAGCATGTGCCTTAGAACTGGGGCTCACACTGCAGATGGCAGCAGTGTTCCTGTCCCTACAGTGACTGAGTTGGTGCACTCATCCCCCGGAAGACAGACCTTGGAGGCAAAGAGATGGGAGTGCAGCTCTGTCTGTGCCCATTGGCTCGCCCAGATTACCAGCTTGCATAGCTTTTTATTCTTACCTACTGTAAAATAGAGATAACAAGTGTCTACTGTTTAGAGCTGCTTTTAGGATTAGATGAAACACATAGATACACACTGCACACAGTCCTGGCGGAATACCAGGAGTCCACTAAAGGTGGCTGTTACTAATGTTGCTACTTCCTATTACTTCCCTGTTCCAGAAACAGATCAGGGAGCAGGACTCTGAATTGGGTTAGAGACAGCACCTGCCCTCAGGAAGCTCATGATATACAAACCTGCATTTCCTCAGGGAATGTAGAGGACGATCCAGGAGGGACCAAAGAAGTGCCTGGGGAACTTAGGGATAGGAGAGGCTTCAAGACTCACAGGATATCCAGGCCCAGTAGCACACACTTGTGGTCCCAGCATTCTAGGAAGCTGATGCAGGAAGACAGCAAGTTTAAGCACAGCTTGCGCAACCTGGAGACTTAGTGAGACTCTATTTCTAATGAAAAACACAAAAGGCTGGAGATGTAGCTCAGTACAAAGACCCTGGGTTGATCGCCACAAAGAGTACGCAGAGCCACTCGAGAGAGTCGAGGTGGTGCAGATGCTTCCTAATGCAATTTTTCTGCTTTGGTTTCTGGGATCCTTAATCTACATTTGGAGTCTTCACTTGGTGAGTCTGTGCATTTATTCATTCAGCAAACATCTGTGGAGGACTCGCTACAGTCACACCATTTGCTAGGATACAGTCCTTGCTTTCAGTAGGACTAGAGGGAAAAGAGAAAAACACAAATAGAAAACCTGGTGCCAGTAAAGAGCCAGAGATGCCCATGTTTCTCTGAACGTCCAGAAGGGGGCGCCTGACCCGATCTAATGGGGCAGGGCACAGGAACTTGGGACGCTCCCTGCAGGTGAAAGCCAGCATTTCATCCGAGTCTTCTACTGTTTGAGCTCTGGGCAGGCTGTACCCTAATATCCCTAAAAGTGTGACCATGCCCTTGGGGACAGGTATTCCTCTTCCTTCAACCTTGATTTCCTCAGCTATAGAAACTCAGTGTTGGCCCCCAATGTTGAGTTTCTCTTCTTGATTCCTTTTTACCCCCAAGAGTCAACAAAACTTGTTTCCATGTTTGCTTTTTTGTGTACTCAGTATCATGTTCTGTGTGGAGCCATTAGATAATGAGACGATGATAAAAACTTCTGCCACTAGGAACAGTTTAAAATAAGAGATACAGCATTATTTTCACAAATTATGCAAGTCCAAAATAGTTTAAAAAATTATTTTATTTAAAGAAAAAAAAAACCAAGACAAAACAGAAAAAAGGGTAGAAGTAACAGAATCTCAAAGAAAAATATTAACATTAAGAAATTACATGTTACATGTTGTCCTCTTAGAAATAATTGTTCAAGTCACAAAATGAAAGCATGAAGAGCGGACATTCAAAACATTCCAAAGTAATTTTTCACAATATTTAACATAACCCTCATAAAAATAACCTTTAAATGCACTAAAAGAGATTTAAATTTTTCACTTTCAAAGATTAATTGACCACATTACAAATTATCTAATGTAATTAATCCCCCTTTTTTGATTTATACTCACTAATACAAAAGTCCTGCTTACTGTACTTATCAAGGATAGAGGTCATTATTTTGCTCTTATGAAAACCTGACTTTTGTACTAATGTGATCCTTTTCCTCAAAATGCCCACTTTCCATCTTAGGAGCTGTCTCAGAGGATAGTGAGGTTGGCCACATGTTCATAAAATTCTTCCCCTGTACCTTTTCTCCCCATGAATTTCAACTAAATGCTAGTAACAAAGTAATGAGAAGCCCCTGGGAATAGCTCACCCCAAAATAGAGAGGGAAGGCTCCCTCTATCACCAATGCCAGTCTTCCGACCATACTCAGCTATTACTGATACATAAGGAAAATATTTTGTACTTTTTATTACCAATTTCCTGGTCACTTTCCCAGCCCCTGGGACTAAATATATGACACAATTTAAAAAAGGACAGGTCTATTTCAACTTACAGTTTTAGAAGTGTTAAAGTGTTACCGTTAGTCCA